AGAAAAAGTTGGTTGAAGAGAAAGTCATGACAGAGCTGTATTTTTCCCCTCCCTCAGCACACACTATTTAAAGATAACCTAAAAGGCACTTGTGCTTGTGCCTTTTCTGCTTCTTTATATGTAAAAATTAATAGCAATTGAGCTGTTAAAAATCCAACACATTTGATACCTCACTGGATCTCTAGTACAGCCTGGGGAGGAATAGACTTCACATTCCTGATCATTTTGAATTAAACCAGAGAACAAAAAGTTACACTTCCTTTTAAGTCGCTTTCCTAATCAACTTATCAAAAAAAGAAAAAGCAAATTTAGTACTACTACTTTGCAGATCACCTTTAACTTGAATCGTCTCATCCATATCTCAGAACAAAAGCAGAAATTAAAAAACTCATCTAAAATTCAAAATAAGCTGAGAAGAGTATAACTGGTTTGATAACCTACATATGGCATATATGACTTGCTTTAAAGTTACTGAAGCATTAACAGAAGCAGTAGAGCTACCACCAAGTTTTCGTTAGAAATACACATTTTATTTCTGTGTGTCAATAAAAAAGTCCCACTTTTCAGATCACAGGATATGAATGCATACAACAAAAAAAGTTGCGCGCTAATCTACTCTTACGATGTCACAATTTAGAAGATCCCTGACCCAGGCCAATTTTTATTTGATTGACATACCCTTCTAGGACTAAGTCCTTACCATTTACATCAGACACAAAATACCTTGTAACAAACAAAATAACTTTCTTCCTAAAAGGTTAACTTTGAAATTTCAGTCCATTCTTACAGGACTCGCACTCCTCCTTCGAGGGCTTCCTGATGGTGAACGACTGAAAGTAAAAGGAAAACGGAAGTTAGAGTATATCAAGTTTTGATTTGGAACTGCTGATAGATATACACACTTGGGGGTATTACTGTATGTTTTTTCCCCCTGAAGGAAACAGAGTGATGTCATCACATCACTATCTGCAGCTGCCTCTGCCCTCAGCTATCCTGCCTCCTCCCCTCCCTCAGGTCGGAAGCTGCATGGCCTCCCCCCACACACCCTGAGCCCCCTCACTCCTTCCACAGAGACCTCTGCCCCCCAGCCTGCTCCTGCTCCCTCCCCACAGCCAGATATCTACCCCCAGAAACAGGGGGATGGCGAGCATAGCAAGCAGGGGGCTGCGCTCCCTAGTTTTCTATAATAACCCAATAATCAGAACTGATGAAGGTAGAGAATTAGTTTTCCTTTTATAACAGATCTTGTAGACATACCCTCAAATTGAGTGAAATCTTACTTTACTATACAATCAATAGTAACTTTTTTTTTAAATGAAACAAAAAACAGGAATATGTAGCACTTTAACAGTAACATCTTGAAAATACAGAAGGCTGTTCCTGAAGTCCATGACAGCATAACAGGAATGGGATAAAAAGGAGGCTACAAACAAGGACCTCAAGAGGTGAGCCACACAGCATAGCAAAGCACAAATTACTCCTATTTCTATGCATTCCTTCCTTCAAGTCTCTTTAGTCAAGTTTGTAACAGCTGCCTCCAAGAGTGAAGACCATACGAATCCTGAGCTAACGAGCAATGTTTATAAATGGCTCAAACTAAAATTAAAAAACTAAGGCTAATAATAAATTATATAAAATAGGCAATGTTCTAACAAGTACTCGTGTATTACAAAGGGGAAAAGTCAAGAATTTTATCTTGCTAATACCATGTTGCAACAGACTGTATAGCCATTAGTCAAGATGAGCCAGCAGCAAGAAGGCCTGCACAGTTTGACTTCATTCAACCAGATAGGTGTTTGTTACAAGTAGTCTTCAGATTGTTTTGCTTCACACATTTAATTCATTTCCAGGTGTACGGACAGCCATTTCTTTACTATTCTAATTCAGAGTTTTTACTCTGGTTATCTCTCCCCCCCATCCCTTAAGAAAGTAGGTTCAGTTCACCTGAAAAAGATTTAATTGCAAGCCACAAGCAGCTCATTGCACCTTCTAAAATACTAGTTCATCTTATGATGGTCACTGGGGTTCTTAAATAGCTTAAAATTTATGCCCTGCGCTTAAGATTTTTCATGCTTTAACTCATTCACTTGATAAGCTCAATTTAATGAAACCTTTAGAGAGGATGGAAGTATTATAACCCGAGCTCGACAAATCAGTGTATCTACTTGCCTGTGGCAAGATTTCAGCCGGTCGCCCCATTCACTGGCGGCACATGCATGCGCAATGCGGGTCTGGCGAGTAGATTTCGCCACGGTTTGTCAAGCCCTCATTATAACCATAGCCAAATGCAAGATCCTCACAATACACTCACTTGCAGGGGAACAGCTTTACCAGAGCTTTCCTGTATATTTAATCTCAGTGTTGACAAACAAGTTTTCAGGAGAGACCTCTGAAGAAACTACATTAGTTCTACACTCAGCAACCTTTAATCACAATATTCAACTTACCTTCTCTTTGGAGATGGTGATCTGGACTTTGATCGGCTACAAAATAGGAATACAAGTGAGAAAAAAAATACAAGTTGTGTGAAAACAATAGTGAAAAATTCCCCCCAAAAGCCCTAGTCATTTTAAATATGCATCACTGTTTGCAAAAATCCTTTTAAAAGATTTGTATGGGTATCAAGCTAATCCTCACCATCGCTACTACTGAAGCAGATACCTGCATGGTTTCTTATCTCCAGAGGCATTTGGCGAGAGTTCTTTCATCATCATTGTTCAATATCAGCACTGAATGGCTGATGGATAAACATGAGGACGCAGCTGTCAGTCCTGCTGAGCTCAAAAAACCTTTCTACTTCAAGATTTTGAATATGCTGATAACGGTCATTGACTCAGTTGGTGAATCACTACACTTATGGCCTGTGTGGGCAAGAAATATCATGCACTTAGGATAAAAGTGCCTAGTACCATCAAATCATCTCCAAGTCACAACTAGCTCAAGGCTCACCTGTCCCGACAGGACATCAAGCAAATGGCAGCTATCAAGTATTTGGGCAACATCCTGAATCGGTATGTTAAAAAGTGGATAATTAGGTAACCATGTAACCTCTGAAGATCTCAGCAATTACAGTTACATGCTACAGGCTCTACAGTATAGAGCTTATACTGCAGAGCTCGCAGCACAGCTGGCTTGCCAGGATCAGAGCCGGCTGGGCTCCACTCGCAGGGAGCCAGCTGCATTGCAGGCTCTCCAGAATACGCATTATATACTGCAGAGCCAGCATTGCAAGGTGGCACCTGGCACACCATCTCCTGCCTGCAGCCCTGCTCCCAGCTTCTGATACAGTGTGCTGCTGCTTCTGATGCAGAGCCCAAGTTTTATCAGTTAACCCAGTGTTTCCCAAATGGTGTTCTGCAAGAAACTTCTATTACAGTAACATTTTATGATTTTTAAAATATTAATATTTAAGCATTTATGAATTATATTGAAAACAATTTTCATTTGTGGTTGCCACGATAAGTGTCCCTGTGTAATACCAGCTTGGCCAGAGTGGGGACAACGATGTCACTACTCAGCGCTGATGTCCGTATATTAGACTTATTAGGGGATCAGCAAAATTCTTGAGTTTAAACAGGTTCCGTGGCCAAATAAAATTGGGATACACTGAGTTAACCATTTCAACGGTTATACTGTTACATCCCTAATCATGAACAGTGCTGGAAGATGCTTAAAACATGTAGCCACTTGTATAAACAGCGGCTGTTGCCATGTTTCAGGTACTTCAGCTGCTTCTGCGGGGACACTGATATCAAGCTTGCTGCTAACTTCCAGAAGCCTCAACTACAGTGTTGAATGGAAGTGAAACACGAGCACTGAGGAAAGCTGAAGACCAAATTGACATTTATGATTCTCATTGTGTGTCAGCTGCTCCATTACCAAGAGATAACAGGATCAGAAATCAGGAGCAAATGCCTCCTTCAGTACTGGTCCTGTTTCACTGGATTTCGTGGTATTGATACAAGACTGGAAAACTAAACAATTCACCACCAACAATCACGTGGACACCAAAAGCCTAGGTGAGGGATGGTCAACCCGCAGCTCGCATACGGCTCCCCCTCCAAAAGTGAGGCTCACGAAACCTCCCCTGCAGCTCGTGAAGCCAGCCCAGCACCTCTAGAAACAGTCCCTGGTGCTCACAAGGGCAGGGGAGCTGTCCAGCGCAGTGATTCAAAATGGCATTGCCAAGATGGGAGACTGATATGGCCAAAAAGCCTGTCTTTCAAAGGGGCAGCATCCTTTTCTCCCCCACCCCCCAACAACTCTGGGGGGCTGGTGGCAAACTCTTCCTCTTTTTTTCTTCTTAAAAATTGCTCAAAAAATTCTGGTGCGGCTCTTCAAATTTTTTCCGCCACTGTTTCGGCTCTCTTCGTTTAATGGCTTGGCCACCCCGGCCTAGGTGGCGCTAAAAGGTGATCAGACAAACAATCTAACCAGATCTTAAGCCCTTTGCCACAGACAGATTTGGGTAGCACTAGGTTTGCAGAGAGGCCATGTTAGGATTTGCCATCATGGATGATCTACACCACTCATGAATTTCAAGTGATTTAACAGCAATGCTGATGTTCTTCGTTTAATGGCTTGGCCACCCCGGCCTAGGTGGCGCTAAAAGGTGATCAGACAAACAATCTAACCAGATCTTAAGCCCTTTGCCACAGACAGATTTGGGTAGCACTAGGTTTGCAGAGAGGCCATGTTAGGATTTGCCATCATGGATGATCTACACCACTCATGAATTTCAAGTGATTTAACAGCAATGCTGATGT